TCATTACCATATTCAAGGGTAGAGCTTTAGAATCATATGAACGGCGGACCCGATTCACATAGTCCTTAAAAGGGTATTTATAACAGACATGTTATTATAAGCATAGAAGAGCTAGGCGTACAGGCTGTCTATTACAGAGTGGGGGCTCCGTGATGAAATACTGAAAACGTGAGGTAAAAGCAAGCGATTTACTTTCGAACCAGGCTCTAATTCTCCTTGATTCTTTCCCCTCTAGATTCCACTACACGTGATGAATACGTGCTTAATAGACACAGACAAGTTAAACGCCCACGTTCCTCCTCTCGAACAACGGGATTAAGGCGTATAAACACACGCGCGCGCACACATATGCAACACACACTGTGGCGTGCAATCCACATGCAAATACATGTACCGCACACGCCACATCACACTCTCACGCGTCACTGCGCAGACGGCGCACAACACACAACGCGCGCCGCGGCGCACGCCGCCAGTACCATGCGCACCATGCACATAGGTGGCGATTATTATACACGTAATGGTTAAATAAACGGTAAACTCACACCTCCTTGCGTTACTAATTGCCGATTTCTGACTTTTGTCCAACGCAGCGGGCTAAACCCAATAAGCCTAGAGCAGTTGCATTCACCGGTGAACGGGCAGCAGAGCGTCCTGTCGGTGCGGCTCGAGTGGTTCCTGTTCCGGCATGGCTCGGTTTGGGCCTCACTGTCCCCGCGCTTCAGCTGTGCCGACGCTGGGTATTGGGTTGGGTCTTCTATTTCATGCGCCGTTGTCTAGGGTGAATAAATTTGGAGTGGGGTGAATGGAAGATAGGGTGAATGGGGGTGAATGAGATTAGGAAACAGTCACGAGGGTAATTTTCGCTGGTTATTGTTCAAAAATACGAGGAGCCTGGCTCATCTAAACTCGCTCCGTATCACCCAAGACTAAACATCCCGAACAACCAGAACAAGAGCAAAAGCTTGTTCGAGCCGAGCTAAGGCGTTCTGGAGTCACATCTCTTTGAAAGCGTGTGTTGAGTACCAAAAGGAGAAGCCGCTTGTAGGCAATCACTGGAAATGCCCGTGATATAGCAAGCGAAACGGACCATAACACCGATACCGAGAGCGCGTGGTTCTGCCCTGCCTGAAGATTGCTGCTGGAAAATTATTCACGGGAGTGAGGAGTCTGTGATGAAGGTGGACTACGCTTTGCGTCTGTCCGGACACTGACAGCGGCGCCGGTGACAAGAAGG